GGGTGGCCTAGTTGGTTAAGTGTCTGACTTCAGCTTAGGTCATGATCTCATGGCAAGTGAGTTCTAGCCCTACATCAGGCTCTGTGCTGACAGCTCAGAGCCAGGAGCCTGCCTCAGATTCTGGGTCTCCCTCTCTCTCTGTGCCTCTCCAGCTCCCACTCTGTCTTTCTCTCTCTCTCTCAAAAATAAACATTAAAAAAATTATTAAATAAAAAAATAATAAATTTAATTTGCAATATAAATGGTGGTACTATTTATATTTCCAACATGATTATACTTCCAACATGATTCAAGTATTGAAATATTAGGAAAGAGAGACCTAGAAATCATAATGGACTTGCTCTAACAACATGTTACTCAGTCAGTGGTGCAAATGAGGAACACACTGCCTCTGGTGGAAATAATGAGTAGCCAAGAAGAAATCTCCAAGGAATCCTGACTTTTCCCACGTAAGTTAGTCCACTAAAAAGTAAATTCAGACTCCACTGTATAATCTAAGAAAGACAGAAAGAGTTACCCAAAAGTAACTCCTCACTGTTTTACCAAGACATCTAAATTTCTCAGCTTTAGTACATTTCCTCCTAGAAATAAACCTGTGCTCTACTGGGATAAACAGGATCATGCATTGAGAGAGAGAACACAATAAGAAGAGGTTAGATAGATGTATAAATTAGTCACCAGAGCACTAACTACCACTTAAATAGCATTTTGGCCTTGAAGACTCTAAGAGCATTTGATTCAAAGTTTTGCATAAAAGCAAAGTCTTATTCTTCATGGAAGGGAAGAACCAGACAAAACATTTTATTTTATATCTAGATATATGGGTTGTCATTACAGAAATGACCTTGGAGATAGCCATTAAGCTTCACTGCATTTCTTAATGTCCCCTTGGTTCAATCATAAATTGAGATCATGACATTATGAGAGTATTTATAGAGTTAATATTTTCCAGCTCTCATCTGGGTCCATCTTTCTTCAGATTTCCTGCCCGGTATATAGAAAAGGCCCATTTGGAATTTGAGAAAGCATCCAGAGACTTTTTTGAAAAGCTATACTCGTCCGAAACTCATACATTTTTGTTATTAGCAGATGTAAATTTGAAGGGGAAATACCATATACTAAGAGCCATTTGGGAATATTCTGTCTTGTAAGGATGACTTACACTTTTCATTTGAATGGCATGGATACTGAGAGTTTAAACACAAAACTCATCTGTACTCTAGCTCTGAATCACTCTTTCTGTGAACTGTGCATTTTTATGATAAACACACACATGTGCATAAAGTATGTGACCTCATTGGCAGTTATCTGCAGTGTCAAAAACCACTGGCAGATACCCAAGAATTGATTGACATATATCTTATAGAACTGGAGTTAATTAATAGGTCTACCAATTCCCAACTGTACTACAGGAAACAGAAAATCTGTTTAATACAGTAATCAATGACATACTGTGTGTGGTCAGAAGACATTCACTATATGGCAAGAGTAGATTTTGGAATACAGTATTCAGGAGTGTAAATAGCTAAAATGCTAGGAGTGTAAAATAAGGCCTATTTTTCTAACTGGAAGACTAAGCAAGGGTTTTCTCTTTTTTTCCCTCAAACTATTTATCATTACTTAAAGCAACTGCTAATTTCCTCCTGCAAGATCTGAGGCTGTTAAATCACAAAGGGAATCTTGATTTGCTTCCAAAGTGATGTCTTTACTTCTGTGACATCAGTTATCTGAAAAGCTAAGTCCACTGTATCATTTCCTAACAGTGAGTTTCAACAATTTGGGGAACTCAGTGTAAGATAATGAGTTATTTTAAAGAAAGAACACAGCAAAGAAAAAAATTGAATGTTAAAATGTCCACAAAGGCCACAATAAAAGCGAAAAGCAAAATGTTTCTTTCTTTTTTTTTTTTTGTATGATGAAATAATCTTCATTATGTAAAGGCAGAACAGAGGTTTAAAGAGGATACTAGTTAATTATTTTATGTAGTATGGGACAGGTAATAGCAAAGCATTCATTCTATTTATAAACTAAAATATAAGACAACGATATGTCCTGGTTCTATATGAAAAGCCATCCTTGCAAACAAAAGTTACTAAATTCAAACTTCACGAGAGCTAACCCAACAATTGTAGCCTCAGTTCTGATCACTGTACCTTCTTCTTCCAATCTTTCCATCATTGTTATTCTTTTCCTAAAGGCATGAAGCACACATTGTCTCTTCAACTTCACAAACGGCATAACTGTCTAAATTCAAGGGTAGGATTTTAAGTACCAGTATAGATCAACTTAAAGCAGATTCTCTCTTAAGGCAGCTTAAGCATTTGAAAATTAAATCTTATACTGTCTAGACAAGCTATCTTGATAATATCTTTTCCAGAATTTCCTAGATTGTCTGTCTAGACCGCCCCAAATTCCCCCAGATGACTGCATAATCATCTTTCCTCTGACCACTTAAAAGACTCTGGAACAATATTTCCCAATATATTTGCCATGTAAATCAAGGTCATTGAGCTTCTGAAGGAGGACCTCTCTCCAAAGCTCTGAGATTCAGAATCTCAGGAAAATACCTGCATCCCAATATTCTACCTCAAAGGAGATTAGAAGGGAAGCTTTATTTATTTCGGTGGTGGAAATGGCTTCCTCCACTTTCCTGGATAAGTGGCTTGGCTCCAGAACCTGTACCTTTCATTTCCCCTGCCCACCCATAAGAGAACAATGAATAGTTAATGAGTTATAAAGGAAATATGCTGTGAACTCTCCTAAATAGCAATTTCAAGAAAAAAAATCAGTATTTTTGGGAAAATGATAGAAACATGGGAACAATAAATGGTATTTTAATTTAAATGGCCATCAAGATCATCTAAGTTTAAAATTTTTAAATGGAAGAATTTAAGATAAAGTGCAGAATCACCTAGTAACAATGGGAGCTCAGTGCGGTAATTTACAATATCTGATCAAGTGAGGTACAAGATGACAATTACTTACACGAAAGACGGTAACAGCGAGATGCAGATTTTTATTTTAAAAATGATAACATTCTTTCAGTACCTACTACCTATTGGACAATGTTAAACCCTCACAACAGCCATACATAAAACAGACACACAAAGAAAATAAGTAGCTTATTCCGGATCAAGCATCTAGTACCAAGTAAGGTCAGACAAAAGTCCTCCACTCTAGGACACGGGACACTTGTTTAACAATGATGGGATTAGAACTCATTGAGTTTCTATAACAAAAAAAGTCAGTGGGTCATGCCCTTACTAGGAGGGTTGGAAGGCAGTTGGAGATAACAAGTCAACCTCTCATTTACAATATATGGACACTGAGGATAACAGGGGTTTTGTTCAGTTTTGTTTTACATAGTATGAGACAGAGTCTGAGATGTTAAATAATTTTTCCAGGGCTCCAAAGCTAGTGAGTTGTAGAATAAGATCAGAAGCCAGATGTGACTTCACAGCCCATGTCTTTTCTATTAATCTGTGCTAGGAGCTCAGCTCTCCTGATTCCATTGCTCTGTCTGGACAGCATGATCCCTGACAAACTGAAAAAGTGTAATATGATGTGGAAGGAGTTCTCTAGAGCTTTCTCCAGAGTACAGAATAGTGGGGCAATTACCCCAGGCCTAACTCTTGGGGTGCCTGACTACAGGAACAGATGAGAAGAAAGCAAAGAGGGAGAGATTTCTCCAGGAGGTGCTGGAAGTCAAGCATACAAAGTCTCCTAGATCACGTGCAAGGAATTATTCCTAATTTCATCAACACGAAACAAGTAATTTAAGTAGAACGGCCTTTCCTTAAAGTTAGTTTTTACTTAAAACTCTTGGGTACGTCAGCAAGTATACTATACGTGCTTGTACGGGAAAGGAGGAAGGATGGACCGGGGGGAACCGGCTGATGAGGAGCAAATACTTACACTGGTGAGGCCTTGGGAAAGTGTTTTCATCTTTCCAGGATCATCAGTTAAGTAATAATAATTGTGTTTGGTCTAGAAACCACATAGTCTCTAAGGTGTCTACAAAGATGTTATAGCACAGACTGTTTTGATTTCTAAACCTTTGGGTTGAAAGAACGTTTTTGTATCACTTTAGGACACCTTAAGAAAATTTAGGGAGAGAATCTATAGCTACAGAGAAGTGGCTCACGTGTGAATTATATTTTATCTTCGGGATTTCAAAAATATTGGAGAAATAAATCCTTTATTTGTTGAGTATCTCTGAATTCCAATTTGGAAGAAAATTCTGTCACAAATGATGCTCTCACCATTTGTTCTTTTTGGCATTTAGTGCCAAAAAATTATAAAAGGGCTTATAGTTGAAGGCTTACTGGTAAGCCCAATTCATGGAACCACTTTCAATATCCGTAACTTTTCCTTTCAGTATTTCCCTAATCTCTAGTGTTACTTAAACTTACCTAACTTTAATTACCTAACTAAAACATCTCTTATATTAAACCAATTAAAGAAACATTTCTTTTTCTTTTCCATACTGCCAACATTATAGCTCAAAATAGAGAAAGAAAGCTTAGTTGAGTAAGAACACAAATGTGAATAATTTAGGTCAAACATGAGATCAGACCATTGTGCACATGTATGGCATCCTTCCTTAATCCCTAGGCAGAAGAAAACAACTGGGGTGGCAGACACTTCTGGCGGAGGATGGAAATGGAGGGGAAAGCTGGCAATATACAAATGAAGGAGAAAACAGTACACATTCAGCCTGCTGACATCTGCTGCACATGCAAAATGGATTGGACTCTGTAATCCAGGGCAAAAGCAAATGCTTTCTTCCTTCCTTCCTCCTGTTCCATAGTTATCGTTGAGTGATGGTCTCATTCTTTTTGCATTCACAGATTAAAATTAATAACAGCATCTGAATTTGAAGTAGATCCCACTGAATAGCAAACCAGAAGCTAAATGAGCTGAAGAAATTAGTAATGAAGCATTTGAATAGGAAGGGGTCATGGACAAATACCAGTTTTTAAAAGCCAGCTTTAGTTTACCTCAGGATGATGTCCAATTTCAATGTAGGTGCAAATTGGATGAAAAGCCCCCGTTCCACAGGCGTACAAGTGAGTCTGATTATAAGCCTTAAGCACCTTGATGAAATTAGCACATTCTTTCTGTAAAACAAAAGGAAAACCAGTGAGTTCTAGCAGTCAGCATGGCTGAGGTATCCTCTAGGGTGCTAGGCATGCTTGAACAGATTTCTTTTCTTTTGTGTCTTTTTCACAACATTTTTAGGGCTTATTATCCTATTATTTGTTCATATTATCTAATGAAATAAAATATAAAAGCTCTTATCATTGGGGGGGGTAATAAAAGATTGTCTTCCATAGCAGTTCATTAAAACTATTTGTAATTTATTTATATAAAAGTGGAATAAAGGTATAAATAATTGTTAATCACAGGTGACTTTTCTAGAGATGAGGGGAACAGGAAATGATATGATTAATTAAAGATTACTTAAAGCACACAGTGATGAAATTTCTTTGCAAAAATAAGCTTTAAGTTTAGAATAATAAGACAAAAATAAAAGATAATAAAGCTTTTTATTAAACATGAATTTTAAACATTAGTAGTAGCCAATAATGATGGGTGCCTGCCTTTAAACTTCAGTTCTGCTCATTAGTAACCTCTATAGAGTCTAAGAAAGTAAAGCTGCCTCCTCTCCAAAACATTATTTCAGCCTCAAAGACAATGCAGAGTATATTTCTATGAAATAGGGAAGATTAGTTAGAGTACTGAATATCTGTAGGTGGAAAGATCTTTTATGGAGTGGCTATAATTAACAAATATTTTCAGGAGGTTCATGGACATCCTGAACCCATGAACCCATACATGCATTCCCTGCCCAATGAGCCACAAATCCCACAGGTAAGAATGCTTAGTTCTTAGGAGATATTCTAGTCATATCTTATTATTTATAGTTTAGATATACCTGCCATTGTATCTTTTGAAATAAAAGATCACTTGAAAAATAAAATGGAGAAAGGGGCACCTGGGTGGCTCAGTCAGTTGAGCATCCGACTTCAGCTCAGGTCATGATCTCACAAACAGTTCGTTGGTTCCCGCTACACATCAGGCTCTGTGCTGATAGCTCAGAGCCTGGAGCCTGCTTCAGATTCTGTGTCTCCCTCTTTCTCTGCCCTTCTCCTGCTCATGCTCTGTGTCTGTCTCTCTCTCTCAAAAATAAACGAACATTAAAAAAAAATTTTAATAAAAACAAATAAAATGGACAGAGCCATTTATATCCTTTCTATATAGTCTACCTGCAGGTGCTGTGAAAGAAACTGTTTTTCTATAAACAAATAGGAATCTCAGCCTTTTGTCCCTGTTGATGAAAGATTTGGGAGAAAAATCAGATAATCAGAATATAAACTGATAATTTTATTACCCAAAAAATCCAGAGCAGAAAAGACTTAGTTTTTGCAAAATATTTTCATTATTTTTTTAATGTTTATTTATTTATTTGAGAGCATGTGTGCACACACAAATGGGGGAGGGGCAGAGAGAGAGGGAGAGGGAGAATACCCAGCAGGCTCCACGCTGTCACCGCAGAGCCCAATGCAGGGCTTATCTCAGGAACCAAGAAATCATGACCTGAGTCAAAATCAAGAGCTGGGCCCTTACCTGACTGAGCCAGCCAGGCACCTCACAAAATTATTTTTAAATAGGTGAATCTATATCAATATTAAAAAGAAAAAAAAAAAAAAGAAAAGAAAACCCAAACTGTCAAAATAGTTTCAAATAAAAGGTTATGGTCTGTTAACCATATAAGGAATCTTAAAAATTACATACATATAAGTAGAAAGTATGAGTTCATCATGGAATACATAATATCCACTTTGAAAGCAGCCAAATGAATATTCATATGCTAAATAATAAAAACTTCATCGAAAACTATTTTATTATTGATCATAGATTATCCTAAGTTTGTGTTTTACCTATAAAAATTTGGAAATAAGAGCCAAATATGTAACTAGAAATGCAGATAAAGATGAAAAGCAGACTCTAATGTGAGCAAGGCTGGCAAATATAATAGAAGATAGTGTTGATCCCAGCACCTCAAAGCATGGAACACTTCCAAATTCACTCTGTGTAACATGTGCCTTTTCAAGTGAAAGCTCAGAATGCATTTGGACTTATGTGGTCAGTTGGCATTTATAACTGAGGTGTTACAATGATGTAAGTACATTTCCACATGATGTTTGTATTCTGTGTTTGCAGCTGATAATTTTGGTCTTTATTGCCCCCATAATAAGGAGCAGACAACCAAACTTAAGCAGAATAATTGTTATTTAAATTCAAATAACTGCTTTCCATTACCACTGATTTTTCTGGGATGAAACCTAAGGGTGTCCTGTTAATATACTGCCCCAAAGATGAATGAGACCTATTTAAGGTAAAATATGTAACTTTCAAGTTATGACTCCTCATACTTTCTTAACATATGCTGAGTAGTTTAGGGAAGTAACTAAAATAAACATCTAATTTCTCCCACTGTTTTGCCACTTAAATCCTGACTCTGTCTGGTAAAGCAGTACAGCATATAAAATTAAGCTCTCAAATCAATTAATTTTAGAAGTTGCAATGAAGAAAAATTTGCTAACTTAAAGAGTATATGGATCTTACCCACATTTAATGGTACATCTTAGACAAAACAGATAGAGCCTAACTTCCAAGACTCTCAGCAACAAACTGCCCATTCCGCAACAGTTTCTCTCCTCCCAAGAGGCTAGGGCATGAATGTCTAGGCAGGGGAAAGAGGTTGTGCAGAGGGAAACATCTGATAAACTCATTTACAAATGAGGCCATTCATAAGTCTTACCCAAAGGATTTATTTGTACTTTAAAGAATATTCAGTCATTTGCAAAGAAGGCATTTTCAGGAAAATGTTTCACAGCACCCCATTTTTTGAAACATGTAGGTGGCCACATACTCTTCTTTTACATAAAGACAGCCATCCCTAATTGTGGACTCAGTATTACAGCATTCGTGATTATAAATAACCAGTTCCGGCACCGTATGTTGAAACCAAGTAAATGGCTATGTATATATTGGTAAGCAAACGAATATTCTAATAAATAATAGTGGCAGAACCAGATGGACATCTTGTTCATTTTAGAAAAGAACAGGCTTCCAGTTTGCCTGCCATGCCTTAAAAGACACACATGCAATTCTGAATACAAATCCAAATTCTCTAATCCCATTAGTAACACCTAAGTGCATCCTAGAAATCTGAGAAGAGGCCCTAGTTCTCTGGGACAACAATAAAAGGAAACATTTTATGAGCATGGATACTTGTAAAGACAAATGGAGACTCATGCCATCTCTGTAACTGTTTTCAGTTCTAAAATCAATAGGCTGGTGAGTTGATATCTCTTATAGACTGGGTAATTGGTTAGCAATAATTAGTGGTTGAAAAACTCAGGGTTCTTAAAACTACAGAAGTGAGCCACAATGAATATCATAATTTTAGTTTGTTGTCTATTAACTATCAAAGAAGTATTACGATAGTACGACAGCTAGCCCTCTACAGAGCTGCTGGAAAAAAATCAGTCACAAGACTATAGCTGTGAAACCTGGCAAAGGGTTCTACTGAGAATACTGATAACAGACTCTATCTGTGCTACAAAGGGACTAGACCCACCCAATTGGCCTAAGGCCTGGAATGATCCCCTTCATTTCCCCAGTGAACTCTCCTAGTTGGCAGCAGGCTGTAATGTTGCCATGCCCCAGGGCTAGCTCAGCATTATTTTGAAAGGAAGGTTGATGCAAATAGAATGGAGAGAAATTTCTTAGGTTTACAGAATAGGTTAAGACATTTGAAATGAAACAAAGACAGTGAATGAAGTACTTTCAAAATTGGCTAAAAATAGCTGCATGGAAGCAGTGAATTAAAAGTACTGGACAGAGAAGAACCAAAAATTTGAAGAAGACATTGTTAGCAAGGATTGTTCTTTAAACGGAAAACCTACATAAAAGAGTATCAATTCTGTCATTCATTTGCCTTCACTCTCTAGCTTGTTGCTGCCAAGGTTTTTTTTGTTTTTGTTTTTGTTTTTTGAATGTTCCAAAACAGGATACTCATTTTATTTGGAAGCAGCCTGGACATTCCTCTAAAAAAGAAGGAAGCGTGGCAGAAAAAGGAAACACACTTCACACATTTCTGTTCTAGGGAGACAGAAGAAGAGTGATTCTGACCTTTTCTTGAACCATGACAATTCTTAAAACTTAGAATGTAATGTACTTTTTGGCATTAAACTACTGCACTGCTTTGCTCAGCACCGGCGGATTTACAACGTAATAAAGAAAATGTAATCAGTTCAAAATGAATTCATTTTTCAAACCTTGATCCTTTTTGGAATTTAAGTTGAGATACACAGACAAGTTTAGCAACAAGTTGGCTTCCCAAGAGTCAGGTAACCATACTGACCTCTTATTTTACTGAAATGTACTCCAGACCAACAGCATTATGAATTGTTAACTTTCCTAGAAGTAAAAGTAAGGGCAATAATAAACCAGTAAACCCCAAGGCTGCACCTGAAGAACAATGATTCATCATCCTAGTGACAAACCGTTCACACTTATTTTTTCAATGTTTCTAGTGCTTTCAGATTAAATTGATAGAGGAATTAAACAAAAGAGATATTAGCCTGGAAAAATAAATTAGAAAGAAAATGTCTACCCCCAGAAAAAAGATATAGGAGCCAAATGCACTGTGATTCAAAAACAAACATTACAAATATGTAGCACTGATTAGACTATGTTACGCAGACTTTTCCCGGACGGTTACAAAAATAAAGTCCATCCATCTGTCAAAACAACTGCTCCATGCATGAAAATTAAAACAGAATTGAGGTGTTTTTAACTAACTTCCGATAATTATACTTTCTACAAAAGAATGTAATTTACCTCCAATTCCAATTACCTCCTTGCATGTTCTTAAATTATGGATGGAGCAGTGAAATGTTACTCTAAATAAGAGAAAAAAGGAGAGAAGGCTGTGAAGATGAACAATTTCTATTCAAATATATTCAGTTCATGATTAAATCTAACAACTTGTTCTGGTTCAAATAAAAATCCGCCCAAAATGAATGGGTATAGTGTAGTATTGCCT